GCCTTCAAGACACTGCTGCAGCCAGTTAAACCAGTCCCCTTGCTTTCCGTCCCCCCAGCCAATTTGTTCATTTCTGGAAAAGCTGGCACCGCATTCTTCTAGCTGCAGGCTCCAGGCTGTACTTACAGGAAATATTTCCTGAGTGCTGACTGGGTGCGTGGCCCGCGTTAGGCCCAGGAAAGGGCTCCCGTTGCCACGGATTTTGTGCAGGTACAGCCATGGCTTCCGGGCGGCCAGGTTGGCCCCCCATTTCAGATTCTCACGGTGTAATTGATCTCTTTCTTGACAGTGGAAAACAGAACTCCAACACAGGAACATTAGCCTTAAGAACCAAAGCAGATATTCCTTCTCTTACCCAGCAGGAGTTTTCTCTCCAAATACATTTTTTTCTTTTTGTAAAATATCCTCACCTGAGGATATTTTCCCACTACTTGTAGGGAGAGTGGAAGAGAGAGGGAAAGACAGAGAGAAATACCGATGTGAGAGAAACACATCAATTGGTTGCCTCCTGCACTTGCCCCAACCAGGGCCTGCAACCCAGGTACGTGCCCTTGGTCGGAATCGAACCCGGTCCCTTCAGTTCTCAGGCCAACGTTCTACCCACTGAGTCAAACTGGGTAGGGCCCAAATAATTTTTATTAGAATAAAATCGACAATGATATTATCTTCATCTTAAGAAGTACTCACAGGCTTCCTGTATATAATCTTGAAGTGTTTTCAACAAGTGTTCTATGATGCTGAACATTCCAGAAGCAAATTCCCAAATTACGTTGGCCCCACAGCCCTGCTTATATGGAGAAGTGGCCTGGGAAAGAAAATATTTTCTGTACTAGTGTTTGTCTGACTCAGTTTCCCCAGTATGACTGAGAATAGACTGCACAGGGACAGGTTTGAGCAAATACAACTTTATTTATTCACCTTGGAGTACAGGTATCAACCCCCAACCCATGCAGAAAGCACCCCTTTGTTCATTCCCTCCCCACCCGTTTCAGAAAAATAGCTGTATGTTCTTTCAGAGTAACCAAACATTAACACATCTAAAAAATGGTGTCCACCACCATTTGGATTTTGCTCCTATATTTCATGTAAGCTACAAAGCATTTCCTATGTGTACAACATATCCACTTGCATGAAAACATCACAGAGGTGTTGTGTGCAACAACTGCTTAGAAGGGAACTGTTTCATTGGGTCTCATTTCTTTCTTATCTGCTAGTTTCTGGCCCATTTTATTCTGAAGAGAAAGAAAGATATATTACCACATTAAAGCAGTGGTTCTCAACCTTCCTACTGCCGCGAGCCTTTAATACAGTTCTTCATGTTGTGGTGACCCCCAACCATAAAATTATTTTCGCTGCTACTTAACTGTAATTTTGCTACTGTTATGAATCGCAATGTAAATATCTGATATGCAAAGTATATTTTCATTGTTACAAATTGAACATAATGAAAGCATAGAGATTAATCACAAAAACAATATGTAATTATATATGTGTTTTCTGATGGTCTTAGGCGACCCCTGTGAAAGGGTCGTTTCACTCCCAAAAGGGGTCGCGACCCACAGGTTGAGAACTGCTGCATTAAAGGCTAAGCAACTTAGGTCAGGCTGGCCTGTGTTTATGGAAAATAAATCATTAACTACTGCATTAAGTATCCAATCCTAGTATCACAATGGGGGGCGAGGGGGAGGCAGGGATAGGGAGCTGTCCATTAATTTAAAATTTAGTTTTGTATATTTTTCCTTGTGTGTGTTGTCAAGTTCCTGGAGTAAGAAATGTGAGAAAAGCCCCATTTCCCAGGACCACAAGTTAGGGAACCAGGCCTTGGGACAGGTACTTGCTGAAGAAGAGGAATACATGGTCTCGGGAGAGCCTCCCCCATGACCCACACCAACCGTCACGCCTTCTCTACACACAGGTGTTTGCACGCATTTCTTCTTCTTGTTCTTTGCAACCACCTTTTTGGCCCATAAAGTTGGGAACATTCGGGAGGAAGAGGTATTTCTGCTACAATGCAATACCTACATTACAAAAAACACACACAAAAAAAACACCAAGAGAAACAAAACCAAGAAACAAAATCTTGTGTCATGAAAATTACACATAAAAATTAACAGGAGCAGAGAGGTTGGGGCTTCAAATGCCAACCAACTTTATAACTACAGCGTGAAAAAATTATGTGGATGTTTAACGATGTACAAACTCAAGAGTGAAGCTCGGCCGGCATGGCTCCGTGGTTGAGCATCGACTTACCAACCAGGAGGTCATTGGTTCGATTCCTTGTCAGAGCACATGCCCGGGTGGCGGGCTCGATCTCCAATCGGGGGCATGCAGGAGGCAGCCCATCAATGATTCTCTCTCATCATTGATGTTTCTCTCTCTCTCCCCCTCTCCCCTCCTCTCTGAAATCAATACAAATAAAAAATAATACAAACAAGAAGAGTGCAAATGCTGGCGAATTTAACTGGAGAAGCGTGGTGGCCAAGGCAGCTGGAAGCCAGCTCTGCACCAGGGGGCCTGCCAGTCAGGAGGATCTGAGCAAACCTCCAGCCAGAGCCTGTAAGGTCAGCACGACCCCATCTGGAAAGGTGTAGGCACTCATTTCTCATTTGCATTTAAACCAAGCAAACCAAACTCTTCTTCCCTCTGACGGCGGATTCCCCTCACACTCTTCCAGCCCTCTCGCCTGGGGAGCACGCCCCCGCCCCGGAACTAACCTGACGTGTGCAGTGTCCTGACATCCTCCTCTACGCACCCATCATGGATGAGCCGCGTCCTGTGGTCG